GCTAAAGCAGTGGTTCTCAACCTGTGGGTCTCGACCCTTAGAGATCACTTTATCAGCTAGCCTGCAAATCAGATATTTTACATTAATAACAGAAGCAAAATTACAGCTATGAAGTAGCAATGAAAATAATTTTATGACTAGGGAGTCACCACAACATAAGGAACTGTATTGAAGGGTCTCAATATTAGGAAGGTTGAGAACCACTGCCGTAAATCTTCTTGTCTTTAGTTTTCAGGAGTTTGATAATGACCTATCATGATGTAAATGTCTTTGGATTTATTTTTATTTTGTAAGTAAGACAGAACAACCAGATTGATATAGTTTTTCAGTTTTTTCTGATGCAAAGAGAAATATTAAAAGAAAACATAGGGCAAATAATAATCACCCATCCCACAGCTCCCATAACCGAAGGAAAATAGGCCAATGGTATCTTAACCAGGAAAAATGTCTTCGCCTCTGGAAGATGCTTTTACACCCTACCCCACGTCCTTCGTTCTTGTGACACTGGGCTTTAGGGAGAGCAGCTTTTCCTAAAAGAGCCCCAGGCTCTTATTTATCATGGGTACCTTTCTCAGTATGTCAGGCAAAACTAGAAACCAGATCTTACAACCATGAATGTGTATTTGCTCCAACTCTGCCACCTGGGCAACTCAGTGTTTGACTGTGGTGTTGCACATCAGGTTGGTCTCTTCTGTCACTGTGAGGCCCTCAGCCTCATGGTGAAGGACTTTGATTGGCACATCAATAGATGTCTCAGTGGGGAGAAAGGTCAACTGTGGTCTCTTCTTCTTTGGTTTGGCCACAAATGTGAAGGAGTGGAGGGAATGGCAGGCTGTTAGTTCCCGAAATTCCATACTGCATTCTCTTGGGTTTAATGTTTCCTGTTTATTCACTTTCCCATTCTTCCCCCTCCATTGCCTTCATCTTCTCCTCCTTCTCCTCCCCTTCCTTTCTTTCTCCTCCTCCTCGTTTGCCTTCTCTTTTATTCCAATCTGAGCAATGAAGGGTTTGTGCATCCTCAGCAAGCATTCTGACTAAGCTCTATCTTCAGACCTTAACTTCTTTAATTTACAATTTTATGTTTTCTTTTTCTTTTTTTTAATTTGGGGGATTAGTTTTCATTTCTTTGCATACAGTTTTGCACTTTTCTTACTTTTATTTTCACCTGAGACACTGTTGACACAACATTAGACTCCCTCAGGTCCCAGAACCTCTGTTCTCTTCTCTCCTGCTAATTCTCCCTTTATTCTTCAGACCAGCTACTTTCTATTGTCGTATCTCCCTCTGCTCTGCCCTGCCCTTTGCTTTCGAGCAATTAGGGTATTTTGTTATGAGACTCTAGTCCTTACTTATATTCCCGGGTTATTTGTGGTTTTCATTTTTTTGATACTGTTATGTCGGGGGAAGGAAAGGTTACTGGCTCCTCACTACCAGGTGGGACAGAAATATAGGTTTCCCAGTAAGCATCTGTGAGGCCCAAGGATTGGAGGGCCCCTCCCATCTCTTCACCAGGGTTCAGCTGATGCTGCTTCAGCTTGGAGGGACACGCCTACCCGATTGTCACTCCCCATGTGGTCTTCATTGATTGCATGTATAGGTTGTGTCGTGCTTTGTATATCAAGTATCTTTTCCCCGTTGGCCTTTGTGTAGAACTCTCAGCTCCTTGTCTGCATGCATTCAGACAAGGTCCTGGAGAAGAGGCCGAGAGTTCTACATTTCCATCTTTAGTAGCAGAAGTGAAAGTGACACTAGGTCTAGCTTGATCATCTCACAGCTCAAGGGCCACCCCCACACTCCAAAAAGGCCACACCTCCTAATGATGCTACACACTATGGACCAAGCATTGAAACATGAATCTATGGGGGCCATACCTAGTCACACCACTACAGGTGGGAACAGGAGAACGAGGTAGGAAGATAAGGAATCTGGCTTCAGCCTGGTTGGTGAGGGAAAAGTTGAATTATCTCATTTGGCCCTTGCTGAGGTGGATGGGCTGAGACTAACAAGATTTCTGTGTGTTTGGCTGAAGCACAGGCATTATTATCCAAGAGTTTTCTATTTTGCTAGGCTACACCTTTCCTTGCCTGTTGAGGGGAAGGAGGGGGAGAGAGAGGGACACAGAGAGATTGACAGGGACTCGATTAAGGTTGTGCTTGATATTTCTTTAGTTCTGAGGATGGAATATAACACACACACATAGCACACACACATACTTACACAGACACATAGACACACAGACACACACACATACATACACACTCACACGTACACACACATACACAAACACACAGACTACATTGCCATGTCAATCCTAGGACTCTAACATTCTGATTCGTCTTCTTTTTTATTCTACCATTTCAACATAAGTCTGATTTACATAGAATATACAGGGGTTTTGGTTGCATGTATGGGATAAATAGGGTAAAACACTTATTCTTTATTTTTAGAAGTAGAAATATTGTCTTGAGTTTATAAAACATGATTTTTGAGCCCATGGGCCCCAACAAAGTGTAGGTTTGCTTCTTTCATCAGTCTGTCAGTTACTTCTAAACATTTCACTCATTGTAATCAAGCACACCGCCTGTTATAGACCAAAGAGGTTTTCTAGTCACCAGGAGATCTGGACAGTTAAAAGCCTACCAAATTCCCTTCAACTCTAGAAGAGATGGGTCCCACTCCATCCTTTCTCTACATTAAGATTTATCCCACATATATCTACAGTCATTTCCTCATTAGCCATTTCCTGACCCTCTAGACCCTACCCAAGAAGAAAACCATTTTAAGCAAAGGTATTGCATACAATTGTGATGATGTTGAGGAATACAGAGGTATTTGTGCATATTGGTTTGCATGTGCTTTAGTGTACATCTTTTATTCCATTTCTACATGCACTGGTGTAAGAAAATCATAGTTTGGATGATAAATGATCCATATTTTCCTCAAATGAAAAGCCACTTCTGTTTTTGCCCTTCTCCAAAGATGATGAGTGTACCACACATGAACAAAAGGCTTGCAAGTCATATGTGCTCAACTCTCCACCAATCCCAGTTTTAAGCAGAATGGAGCACCTCCTATGGTTTATTAGTGACATGAGTAATTGTCCTGTTATTGCCCTTTTTAAAAAAAAAGATTTTCATTATTTTAATTATAAATAGATGTGTCTGCCTGTGGGCATGTGCACATAAGTGCAGGCACCTGTGGAGGCCAGAGATAGATGTCAGATCCCACAGAACTGGAGTTACAGATGGCTGAGTCACCTGATTTGGGTGCCTAGAACTGAACCCGGGCCCACTGGAAGAACAGCAAGAGCTCTTAATTGCCGAGTTATCTTTCCAGCCTGTCCTGTTATTTTCAAGAATTATAAAGAATGGCAAACCTTAGTATATAAAATTCATTCAACACAATACTAGACCGGTACTCTTTAGTTCAAAATGCAATAGACACGTTTTCTCCTCTACTGCTCGCTCTTCAGTATTACAATGAATTCTGAAAAGAGGCACTTTGAAAAACTTATGCAAAGATGAAAACACTAACAGAGTTAGAGTAAAATGAGGACTTCTGATTTTTGTTTAGTTACATCTTTGTATTAGCTTGTGAGTGAATCAGGCAGGGAGAGAGTTGAGAAAGTGAGGGAGGTGTGATGGTTTATGGAGAGACCCAAGGACTTTTGTGTCAGGATGGTGATGTTTAGAGAGGCTGCAACAATATGTGCTTATGAAATTTTGTTGCCTTTGAAATCCTGAGGCGTCTTAGAATGATAATTCAAACGACTCACCAGAGAGCAGACCTCAGAACAACGGTCAGTCTGCACAAGAATGTCTAGACTCTCAAGTCATGATCTTGATTTTTCTGAAGTTGCAGGAAACAGGAAAACAGTAAACCACAAAAGCAACCTTAAATACAGTATGCCCACAAAGGAAGGGTTCATGAAGAGAGACAGTAACAACAGAACAGTCATGGGAGACTTATGGGTGTTGGGGTTCAGGATAGGATAGGCAGATGCTGAAGACTAGTGTGGGTAAACTGATCTAGAGATGGATGTAGGATGCGCTCAATGGCCTTTCATCACAATAGCCTTACCTTCCACTCCGTCTAAAGGAAGAATCAAAGCTGGTCTCATTGGCTGCTACAGAATCCGAGCCTGGAGTAGGCCACACTCTTTGTGCTACCTCTGGCAGCTGTGTGTGTCTTAACATTAGGACTCGAAGGACCTCTGGCTTGAGTCCCATTCCTAATCAAACCATGCAGTACGGTCTTGGGATTATTTCTTGGTTAATTCTACAGTGCTCTTTTCCTTGTTCTTCACAGAAACACAGTGACAGCTGTGTCATAGGGCTGTTGCAGTCATTAGGTGTTATAACACAATCAAGTGGATCGCACATCCTGAGATCGATAATATCCACTGATAATATTTATCATCATCAGTATTAGCTTTATTTTCTGCAATAAATTTCGCAAGCCTGTTCTGACTGATTATGATAGTCAACCCAAGCTGGGCTTCAGTCAGTCTAAGATAGTCAGTTGGATAATGGTATTTTGCTAGGTCCATTGGAATGACAGCAGACTAGCTGTGTCATCTCTGTAGTCCTGCTTAGAAATGGCTGAGCTCCTGGGTATGTGCTCCTTAGATGAGGGTCACCTGAGGATCAGACTTCTACTGCAAAAATGTCCTGTCAAATAATCAGAGTTTTGAAAGACACTGTCTCCAGCCAACCAAGGATATAAGAGAGTTTCCCAGTTTTGGAGGCAAAGCCAAGCACTGGTTGGAAATGAGGGACAAGAAAGAACTGCCAATGACGGTGTGAGAAAATGCTATGGTTTGAATCTTGACTGTCTCTTACAGGCTCAAGTACCAAAGGCTTGGTCTCTGGTGCTGTTACCTAGAGTGGTAAAGTCTCCAGTGGGTGGGGCATGGTGTATGTAGGTCTTTAGGTGTGTGTCCTTGAAAGAACATGGGAGCCCTAGTCCTTTTCTATCTTGACTTGCTCTTCTTTTTTCAGCTACCACCAGGTGAACAGATAGCCTCTGCTGTGCTGCTACGATGATCAACTGCATTGGCCAATGTACCAGAGCCAAGCATCCATGAGCGAAGACCTCTGAAATCACGAGCCTAAACAAAGCTCCCATGTTTTGTCAGAGTCGTGGAAAGTGGAAAGTTTACCAATGCAACAAGCTAACTCTACACCTTGACCCTCCAGGCAAGGGGAGAAGATGTTGGCCTCAATGACGGCTGGATTTCATGATTTGCATCTGAAGCTCTGCTCTGTGATCTCAGCTGACAAGAACCATAGTGTAGTTGTGGTGTCATTGTCCAAAAGTTTAGCTTCTGATGGCAACCACCCCATGACCTGCCTGAGACTATGGACAGAACTGCTTAGATGTGCTCACACTATAAAGGAAGATGGGGATATGCTAATGAGGACAGCCATAACCAGAAGTTGCAAGATTCACAGCCAAATTGCAATAAATCTGTGGAGATTCTTAAAGAACAAGACACACAGGAAAAGTATGATTGCAGGACAAACTGCTTTGTAAATGAACGGCACTACTGCTGAGTCTTGGAAAAGACAAGAACATTCACAAAACTCCTAACCCAACGCACATTAGTCAGCCCTGCTGACTGGCGGATGAGTGATGGCGCTGCGTGGGCGAGCTCTCCCTGAGGAGCCTCTGGAAGGATTCAGGGCTGAATGCTGATGCACAACGTAAATAAAAGACTGCAGTTTGCTCGTTTTTCCTCCTCAACCAATTGCCCCTGCCCCACAGCTCAATCTGTGTTCACGCCCCTCTGCTCTGCCTATGCCAAGTCGGCAACAGGACCGAGTTGCCATGTTATATAACCTATCCCATATTCGTCTTCAAAGGCCCAAAGATTATACCTATGAATGCCATTTGTGTTTGATGACATTGGGGATGGTGTGAAAGTGAAGGCTTTGAGGTAAAAAGGAGTGAAAATGCAAATCATTTTGAGTGCCTTCATAGGGATATTTGGAGGACATGCATGTGCTCTGTTTGCTGGATTCATTGAAGTTCATCACATTTTGTAATACTAGATGAATTTTAAAGTAGCCTTCCCATTTTAAAACTACTTCTCATGAAAGCTCAGAGGTCGGGGGTTATGAGGAGACTTCTCTCATTGCTTCTAAAATATCAAAGTTTTATTTCCCTCATTTAGTCTTAGATGAGAGATCCAGAGACAGAAGAATAAAATAATATGGTATAACAGGTTAAATTCTGATCTCATTGAGACATTAGGCTTTGTATAAACTGAGAGGATAACTTTTCCTTGTGAACTAGCTAACGCTTGGATCTGTAGTGAGAAATAGGATGAGCCAACTTAATACCAATTTTTATTTCATTTTCCCTCCTGTTTCTTTGGTTAGGTCTCTTCATGAAATCTCAGTGGAAGGGCTGGAGAGATGGCTCAGTGGTTAAGATCACATACTGCCTGTGTCAGATGGTTCACAACTCTAGCTCCAGGGGAATCTGAAGATCTTGTCCGGCTTCTGTGGGCACCTGCATTCATGTGCACAGACCCACACAGAGACACATATAAATATACAATTAAAAATAAAATCTTAAAAGAAGCCATCCAACTTCAGTGGACATGAGGATTCATTGATGAGTAACAACATTGCAGGACGTAAAGTAGAGTGGGCCTGACGTAGCATGGGCCTGGTCATACTGGGCCTGAAGTGGTGAGGGCCTGGTCATACTGGGCCTGAAGTGGTGAGGGCCTGGTCATACAGGGCCTGAAGTGGTGAGGGCCTGGTCATACTGGGCCTGAAGTGGTGAGGGCCTGGCCATACAGGGCCTGATGTAGCATGGGCCTGGTCATACCGGGCCTGAGGTGGTGAGGGCCTTGTCATACCGGGCCTGAAGTGGCGTGGGCCTGGACATACTGGAGCATGTTGGTATGTGTAAATAGGTGCTGTAGCAAACATGAGGAGAGTGTTAGTCTTTGACTTACACTTTGTTTGAGATAATATCTCTGTTTTTTTTTTTTTCCGGGGATTTTCCTGTTGCCACCTTTCATCTCTTCTTAGGATCACTGGAATTATAGGTATATGCCATAGTGCCCAGCACTATGTGGGGTCTGAGGATTTGAACTCTGATCTTCATGCTTGCACAGAAAGCAGTTTACCCACTAACCATCCCCCAGCCCAAAAGTTAATTAATTGTAATGCTAGACTAAACCAAAAGCTTCATAGTGGCTTCCTTAGCTTAGATCGAAAGCATCTGACACCTGAGACACTTTGACTCATATGCAGCCAGATTCTTCTTTGGTGGGAGGCCACTCTGACCCCACACTTGGCCTCACACTTGAAGGCAAACACAGTGTTGGACATATGCTGGATGTGTACCATCACTGGACTTCTTCAGGTATCATATATCCTGGGCTTCCATCACAGAAGTTTTAGAACCCAAAGTCAGCTCAAGCCATGGCTTGGGTTACTTACTGGCCATGTGAGTTTGGGCAACCTGTTAGATTTCTCTGTTTAATGAATTATACTTTCTACCTGGTGAAGATTAATGAGTTGGTATATATAAACAGGAGAATGTTCCATAATAAGAAATCAATAAATACATTTATTATTTTGATTTTGTGGTTCTGCTTTCAAGAGATCTATTTAGTCAGAGCTAGGGAAGGGTTTAGACTTTTCTAGCCTATATCCTATTATGGGTAAGGAAACTGAGACCAAGAGAAAGAAGATGACCTCTTGCCATAATTTGTGATATTTTTTTGTCTCCAAATTGCCAGTTCAGAATGTGTGATGGCTAATCTTCATTTTCACCTTGACTGGAATTATAGTTGCTTAGGAGACACACCTCTGCGTATGCCTAGGAGTGTGTTTCCAGAGAGGACTAATTGAGGAGAATAATTCCAGGGAACTGGGTTCTGGACTGAGGGAGAAGTCAGGTGGGACCAGTGTTTCTCTCTCTGCATTCTGACTGTAGGCACAATGTGACCAACTGTCTCACGCTCCTGCTACCATGCCTTTTCCTCCAGGACAGCTGGTACCCTCAAACTGTGAGCCAAAAGAACTCCCCATACCTTAAAATGATCCAACCATGGCTACAAGGAAAGTAACAAATGCAGGGTATTGTGTTTCTTTTGTAGCACTGGGCTCTCTGTCAATTCTCTTGCCTTACTGAGTTGAAGATGAAAGCTCACATTGTTCCTACCTACGCTTAAGGCTTGAGCTTCCATTTTCTCTCCTGGATCACTGTAATACCTTTTTATTGTATGGTGGTTTGCATGAGAATGGCCTCCACAGGCTCATATATCTACCATGTGGTCCCCAGTTGGTAGAGTTGTTTGAGAAGGATTAGGAGGAATGGCCTTGTGGGAGGTGTGTCACTTCTAGTTAGCCCTCTCTGCTCCTACTGGTGGATAAGGATACAAGCCCCTAATTACGGCAATAAGAACCATGCCTGCCTGCTGCCATGCTCCCTGCCATGATGGTCATGGACTCAAGCCCTGAAATGGTTAGCACCTCCATAAACTCTTTTTTTTTCTGTAAGTTGTGTAAGTTGTCTTGGTCATGGCACTCATCCCAGCAGTAAAAAAGTAACTAAGGTGTCTTGCTCTCCTTTGCTCCTTCAACCTATTCTCACCCTAGCCACTTTCAAGTGTACATTCCACTTTCTTTCACATCATATCTCAGTACTCTGTTCATTACACAGTAGTTATCATGATGACCTTGGAGGACACACTCCACCTTAGCATCTTACACTTGCTGTTTCCTTTACTAAATGAGTTCTACCTAGTATGTACATGATTTTCTTCTGTATTTGGCATCTTCCATTTTCCTATCATGCTCCGCCCTATTTTGTTTTGTAGCGTATTCTACATTTTTAGGTGGTTTATTGGTTACTTCCATGGCTACAGATAGCGGGGGGGCACAGATTTTTCATGAATCAGTTTTGAATGTGTAAGACAATGTCTAGTGGATGTTTTGCTGTTCACATGAATGAGGAAGGTGTCAGTGGGACTTCAGGAGGATGTTCAAGAACAGTGTTCTTCCTCAGGCACTGTGGTTATAGAATCAAACCGAGCAAAGTGTGATGTTCTTAGCCACACTGTAGATGGCACGTTCCAACATAAGAACTTGCTGTTTTTAAAATGTGACTTGTCCTGCTTTGTATCTGCATCACTAAACCGACATGAATGTATCTTAATCTTGAGTTAATTACTGGAAAGAACTACGCCACAGAGCCAAGCCCAAACCACCACCACCATCCTACAACTCTGTGAAGATTGTATTTTAATTCCAGTGAGTGAGGACAAAGCACAGTTGTTTCTGGGGAACTTCAGAAAAGACAAAAACACAGGCAGGAGGTCAGTGCTCATGAATCGGATTGCAGTGGGATGAGTTTTTTTTAAATAGGCCCATAACAACGTGGAGCCTAGGAAACTGTGTGAGGTAATGGGGATTCTGACAGACCCTTTAACTGTGTAGAATGAGAAGCTTCTGCCATAATTCTGCTGCTTCAGATGAAAATTTCAAGTGTTTTCATTAGGTACAACAGCTGTTTCTATTACAGATAACAGATCTCAGAGGTGGCAAGGCTGATATCAACTTCCAGTGAGCTCAGAACACAGTGTAGCTTGTACAATTAGTTTTTTTTAATTATTTTTTTTCCTGCACACACAAATTAACTCTGTAGCAGTAAAAGGAAATTACTTATTTGCTACTGGAATTGTCTGAGAGTGATACCATCATCCTGTGTAGAGTCACATTAGCCAAATTAAAAGCCCTTGGGAAAAATTTGGCACCCTGCTCTTTCCCATTCACTCTTCCTAAAGATCTCTCAGGAGCTTCTATTTAGAAAGCCATGATCATTACCCGGGCTTTTAATTTGGGAAGATTGGCTGTTCACCAGTGAGTCTTCCTACACACCCACTGGTTGGATGTGTGGTGTGGGGGTCCGCTGTGCTGTGATTTTGGGAGGCCTTGATTTCATTGTCTGCCTGAGTCCTTGCTTGAAGGTATGTTTTCCAGTCCAGGGTACAGAGCCACTCTGCTGTGTGTCTTGTCTCTGAGATGGTCACCATCATCTCCTTGGTAGTGGAATCCATTCTTCTCTCCATTTATGTCTAGGCCAGTGATGGCATACATCCCTACGACATGACGGAAGTCAATGTAGAAAGAAGGTTACTCCTAAAGACTGTGCAATGTTTTTACTCCCCTTCTCTTAAATTGTTCTCTTGGAACTCAGTTAGATGCCGTTTTAAAGCCTGTTTCACACAGGAGACCTACATTCAGGCAACTGTCTCAGCTGACCAGCGTCAGTTGTCAGGGGTGTGAGGCGGCCATCTTGGAACATTCACAGATGTCAGACCTATGCAGACAAACCATAGGGTTGAACCGGGTGGGAGAAGTTTTGAGAACCATCTGGTGGAGTCTGATCAAGGTATCAGTCTGAGACGATAGTGATTTTTTTCAAACCACTGCACTTAGGGTTGTTTGTTACACAGCACAGATAGCTGAAGTAGGGATAAAGTAAGAAGCAACAGGCTAAGTATGCCCATGAACACAGGCATCATGAACTGTAGCTTACAGCCAAGTACAAGAAGCATTTTCAAAAGATGCAGAAAGATGGTGGTCTCTCTTCCATCTTTCTGGCCTGGCCATAGGATTTACTCATTGGGCTATGGCTCTATAAATACATCGATTTGTAAATGTAAATATTTACTCAATGTATGCAAATATTTCTGGGAGGTGTACTGTTGTAAACTGGAGTACAGCACCATTTTTCTTCATGCAACTAGATAGTAAATAGTTTTGACTTAGTGAGTGATTACAGTGGCCAAGTTGACCGAGACCACATGTAAATGAAAGGCATGCCTGCAAAGCAATACACTTTACTAACAGAAATAGGTGGTGTGTTAAATGTGACCTGAAGCTTGTAGTTTGCTGATCCCTGCTTAAAGTTATTGTGTATAGCCAGTAGAAATAGTTGGAAAAGTTGCTGACTCTTCGGTATTGAATTTATTTCCTTACCCTCCAGCTCCAATTCTTTCTTCAAGCCCTTGCTCTCCTTTGTAGGTTTCTCTCCCACAGTTCGAAGTGCCCCTTCACAATTCTCTTTATATGGTCTTCCTTAGCAGGGTCAGCCACTCAAATGATTTCATTTAACGTTACTTGGCTAAGGACCTAGAAACTTACATCTCTAGTCCATCCTTCTTCCTTCTTGTCATCCTTTTTTTCTTATTCCTTGTCACCCTCATTCAGTATTTATCCAGAACTTGAGGCTCTATATTTTCCCTTGGGCATCTTGACAGCATCCTGGTTGTTTCATAATGGCTGCGGGGACCCTGCAAGCAGGAGAGAAACTGGTGCACTGGCAAGACAAAGAAAAGCATTCAACTACATGCTTGCTTCTTCCTCTCTGCCTTCAGTGTACTCTGGTCTTCCTGTGAGTGCATCTTCAGAAAAGCCATCCCCAGTACACAAACACATACTGCTTCTGAATCTAGTTTTCCCAAAAGCTACAGAATTTCTCAAGATCACTGAACTCCTCATTACTTCATAGCATCAGTGGGTTAG